AAAATAACACACTATTGATGCCGCAGCCGCCGTATTCCCCAGACCTGTGACTTTTTCTTGTTCCCTAAACTGAAGAGGCCCATGAAAGGACGACGTTATGCTTCCCTTGACGAGATAAAGACGGCATAGAAGGAGGAGCTGAAGAATATAAAAAAAAAAATGATTTTTTGAAGTGCTTCGAAGATTGGAAAAACCGATGGCACAAGTGTGTAATATCTCATGGGGATTACTTTGAAGGGGACAAAATAGATATTCATGAATAAATAAAATAAAACCACAAAATTCGCGATAACTTTTGAACACACCTCGTATATGTGTATTAGTAAAGATATATTATAACTTAACTTTGCTTATATTTTTTACTCAGCTTATATTTTCTATTAGATTAAATAATTTTTGTAGAATCTTTCATTTTCACTCTAACATTGATTATATTTAAATATCATTTATTTATTTTCATTTCATTTAGCAGCTTTCCAAAAAGAACATAACGAACCCTCATCGGCTTAGGTTTAAACTCGACCAAAGTCTGCGTGTCGACGCCATAACCCCGCAGCGACAATATTTTACGGCTCTGCGTGATTCATTATGGCTAACTAAACTACCGTTAAGTATGCTTCTGTGCTGTCAAAGCGAAGCACTCACACGCGAACGATGAGAAAATGCAATCGCGCCTTGGCAGTTGAGAGAAGCCGAGTGGGGTACGTTCAGTGACTACTATGAAACGGTTCAATATTTATATATTATGCATATGTACAGTGTATATATGTGTTCTTATATGTGTTTGGGTTGTGAGTGTTGTTCCACAATGAAGTGTGCCAACGACAAGCGGCGATAATAAATTATGCGCCATTAAAATTAGCTCGAAGAAGCAGAAAAACAAAAGCTTCCAGTAAAAAAAAAAAAAAAAGCAAAAGCCTAGGTGCTCAATCAGTTAGTTCAGCGAAATTTTAACACAAGTGTTTGACTTCAGGTTACAAATTCATTATTATTCACCTATTATAAGCAAGTATGTTTGTATATATGTGTGCGTAAATGCTCACATGAGTGGACCATATTATTAGAAGCCAGCAGCGGCAGCACATCTGTGGTCGGGTTTAGTTGAGCGCGCACTTTGCATTTAATTGCCAACCAACTTGTTCAACAAGTGCGCAAATGTAATTCTATCTGCCGGCGGTTACTGGCTGCTGGTAGACTCAAGGGACACACCTACTAAAATTGCACTTCGTTGAGCTCATATTTATAATGTTGTTATTGACAAGTGAATTGCTGGAAGTGAGCACTCGCTACGTAGGTAGTCAACACATCAATTCTAAATGGTGTATAAAGTGGCAAATGCTGAGGCAACTTGTCTGTTTGGCACTTGTTAAAAAAAAATTTTGAATTTAAAAATCTTTTGTATAAAAATGAACTCAACTGAGAACAGACGAAAATTAAGAAATTTTGAAAAAGTTAAACTGTATTTCGAAAAAATTCCCAAATTCCTAGATAAATGAAGTGGGTAAAAAAAATCCAGTTACACTCGTACCGACTGGGTTTAGCCAATTCTATTTTCTCGCTGCTAACTTTATCTGCAACATGCCATCTACTAACTCAACCAAAGTCTTACCACTGGAACTTACCAACAGCTTAGTATACAAATACAATCCTTACACAGTTCGAGTCTGTAAATAGCTATCTATATATTATAAAGGCATACATATGTACATATGTATATATCTTTTACCGTTTGCCGCGCTTTTTCCACTAAGTTCATAACCTTTTGCATTACGAGCTTTTCATAGCATCTTCTTGCCAAAGAAACACATTTTTTATTATATATTTTCTTTTCTACTCTGGCAGCTTTTCGTTGTCTCATAGTTATCTCTTGGCGTAGCGCATCTGCCGTTAGGCGCATAACAGGCGCAGTGAGTGCACAATGGACAACTCTCACTTCACGCAGGGAAAAACTGCCAAAAATTAGAAAGAAAATAATGAGAAGGAAATGCATGAATGAGATGGGCTCCAAGCGCAAATAAATAAAAGTCAAAATTTATGAGCAGTCATTACGGGCAATAAGGAAGATGCAATTGATTACATAACCACTATAAAATAAAAAATAAAATTAAAAAAAAACCAAAAATCAGGAAAAATCTTTTATAAATACTAAAATGTATAAAAATGAAGTAAAAGAAAAAGTTAAAAAATAAAAATAAAAATTGTTCATTATTTTGCCAAAAGCTCTCAGTACAATAAAAACAAATATATAAATATGTGTGTATGTAAAAATGTGTTCGAAGAGATTCTCACCCAGTCTACGCCGCACCTTTTCTACACGCCATTTTTCATGCGGTTTTCGCGTTGCTTTTGCTGTCTGTGAATAACTATTTTTTGTGTGAACGCGCATTATTTTTCTTGTTTTTGCACGTGTCTAGTAGATAAAGCTTACTGGTATTGCCGACGTTTGACATTTACTTCGCCGGTAGTGATATATGATTCTTGTTGTTTCTGTGTGAGTCATAAAATTAAAGTCCATCTATTCAGAAGAAGCACCAATAAAAAACTGCATGCCGAATGTTCGCAAAATTTGCCTTAATGAGCGTCATTTGTAAGCCGTTCCCTCCATCAATGCTTTGCTTTGGTTTTGCGACCGTCCGCCGATTTTCTGAGGGTTGGACGCGTTGGTGAATATAATTGACGGTAATATTTAGTGAAGATGTTGTGAACGTAACGTATAAATGCTTTCGAAAATGCGAATATTGGTAAAATTCATCAAATAATTGAATATAATTTGCACATTAGGGTAGTCGCTAAATGTAAGTAGTAAATTCAGTCAACTCAATCATTTATATTTTGAAGTTTTACACGATTGAACCTCCTTGAAATGTATCTAGTTTCAAAGCTCGTAATTGAAGTCTAATGCACATGTAGAAATATATTTATCTATGTGCATGAAAAAATGTGTAATTAACTATGGAATTTGCGAACGTTAAAGTTGATGGCTAGTTGATGTTGTATCTTCTTAACAAGACACTTAAAAATTAACAAAAATACTCAGCAACAAATGGCAAACCATAAAAGTAAATGAAAAACATCAACAATACACTTTTAAGCAACAATTCCACGCTGGCGCTATCTAGCAGATTTTCATAATGTGTCGCTAATGTTATAGAAAGCAGTCTTCAAAATTTTATTACTTTCGGTTGTAGTTAGTAACCTAACGGGAGCTTTAAGAACAACTCCAACAGTGGCTCTTGAAGCTTTCTTCACTGAAAATTGCGCAGCGAAATCAGCGCTCTCGATAGAAATGCAAAAACATGATAGGAATACTAACTGGTCAGTGTCTTGTGGCGACACACGCCCGCAAGATGGGGCTGATAGATCGAGAAGGGTGCAGGAAATGTTTAGAGCAGGGTACCAAGGAAACAATGGAGCATCTCTAGCGCACTTATCACTCATTGGTAAAGCTACGATGTAAGCATCTGGGGTCCCAATAGTATGATTCCCTGGAGGAGGTATCAGCAGTGAGGCCGCAGAGTCTGACGACTACTCCTCTTGGAGCTAGCAACCGAACTCCATCCGGTATTGTAAAGAAATAAAAAATGTAGACAAACACTTTTTTGTTCAGTATTTTACAGCAGGCGTAAAAATAATCTCGATATGAATTCAAAGTCTCGGAGACTCCAGTGAGCACTAACAATTAAGAAAAAGCAGAAAATTAAAAAATAATCAATTGAAAACTCAACGCGCAAATTGAATATGTAATAATAATAAAAATTATCGTAATTATCATGCGCATCCGAAGTGCTCATCAATGAATATGCAAAACAGTGTACCACTCTGAACTGCAAATGGGCTGTGGCGACTACTGGGAACTTGGCAATAACTGCGCCTACCAGTTGCGCATACTCAAATCGACCAGCGCGCTGTGCTTTTCGACGATTGAACCTTTGCATTAAAATGACATTAAACCGCATTTGACCCCAATTCGGCGCGCAACGGGTATGCAAATGCATGCCTGGCAGCGTGCGACAGGCGCAGGCGCTGCTGCAATTAAACTATTGAATTCGTTTAACTGCAAAAACGCACATAGAGACGCGCTTTTAAGCTAATACCCTTTATTTTCACACATATATTCGACAAATTTGCATATATCGGGGGCTTGCAATAGCCGCTAGCCTCTACCACATGCTGCTGCAGCGACCAATCGCCATAATAAAGCAAGAGTCCAGGCAAAAATTGCGCGCAGTTAGTTGGAAAAAAAATCAATTAAATAAAAGAATGGGTATGAACTGGGCACACAAATACATGCACAATACTACCGAAACTGGTAAAAAGGCATAAATACATATTTATATACATATGCGCGCGACCTAAATTCAAGTTGCAACTTGTAGTCAATAAAATATACTATATGTGGCAGCCGCAATGCGACGAGCGCAAAAAGCCTCGCAAAAATAATCAGGCACGAAGTGACGCCAAGGCCCAGCACCGTGCGCAGCGTGTTCACCTGTCAACCGCTACACTCGCTGGCTTTTCACCTCGCAGCTATTTCTTATATGCCAATTTTACTCGACTTTCCTTTGTGGTCACAAAAGGCTGAAACATTTTAAGGTCAATCATCAATCAACTAGACTCACCAGATTTGACCACGTGTGGATTTTGCTTGTTCCCCAAACTGAATCTGCGGCTACGTGTAATCCCTTTTCAGTCGATCGAAGATATAAATCAAAATTCGGTGAAGGATCTGAAGGCCATACCAAAAAGAAGAAAGTGAAGAGGGTTTCGGCGACTGGAAAAATCCTTCACATAAGTGTATTACATCTGGTGGGGATTACTTTGTAGGCAGAAAACAGATATATTTATGTATATATTGAAAAAATATATATAAGTAATAACAAATACATTACAATTTTTGTACATTATGGAGGTAGAAATTTCTTTATCGAAATATTAAAAAACAACAAACTAAAGATATAAAAATATTAAAAAATAAATAAAAATCAAACTACGTTCAGTCAGGTAATATATCGAAAAACTGCCATTTATGCTAATTTTCACATATCTGAAGCGACGATTATAGCAAATTTACAATAAGCCAATGAACAGTTTAGCTAACAACGTATAATAAATTATGCTTTTAGTGTGCAACCGTCATACGAAACAATAGAAAATCAGTAACCGTGAAAAAACCAGTAAAGCTGACGCTGGCTAGTTTAGAATCTAATAGCAGCCAATATACACATTCAAAAGCAAAAAAGTTAATACTCACAACAATTCAGCGCTATTATATTTGTAATTTACTAAGTACGCCAACGAAATATGTCTGTGTATGTGTGAGCAAATGTCTGTTAACTTTTTAGTCGCGGTCAATGACTAGACGGACGGTAGGCGGACTATCAAAAAGTGAACAAGCAACTGGTAAGCGCTAAGCCATATAAAATATTCACACACAAATATACTTTTAGGCGTTCCAGCAGTGAGTGCGATTGTATGCTAGCAGACAACCAAACGCGCCGGTGTATGTTTGCCGGTAACGGTGATCTGTTTCAGATTTTCCCACAATTAAGCGATTTCCACGTTTTTCCACAAGTCAGCGAGTTGCCATTGTTTTATCAAGTATTTATTATTATTATCGCCATTAATGGGGAGCTAATGTTGAGGAAACTTTAACTAATTAGAATAGAAGTTAAAGTAAAATGAAGCAAGTGAATGCAAAGTTATGTAGCCCGATTTAGTTTTTGTGATCTTTCGTTGTTGTTGCTCAATTAAAAATCGTTCAGTTTCGCGCGTAAAATTATTTTAGTATGACATTTTTTTTTTTTTTTATTATGTAGTAACTTGAGAAATTACTAATACTAAGTTTTTTCAACAAAAAAATTTCACTTTTCTTCAAATAAGAGTGCAGGTGAAATCTAGATTTACATGAAATTTTTTTTTTACATGCACAAAAATTGTAATTTCATTAATGTGTGGCAGACAGACATCCACGCGGTCCGGCCGTATCGAAATAAGTTGTGAGAATAGCGCAAATAACACAATTTGCAACAGTGAAACAAGATTCCACGAAGTTGTTGTCGGTAGCTAACGCGCATTTAAGTAATAAAGCAAAAGAAAAATAAAACTAAGAACACAAGAAAAAAACAAATGAAAACAAAAATATGGTTGCAATAAATTCGCAAAATATTGACCGTTATTAAGTAAAAGTTGTCTAGCAACTTCTGCGTCAGCGGCCTAATGATGTCAAATGGGGGGTGGTGAGGAAACACGTATCAGCAAAGAGCACTCGCAGTGGTGTTGCTATGTTGTTGGTCTGCAATATTTATTCGGTTTGTAAATATGTGTACTTGTATATGTATATATACATACATATATATGTGTGTGGCAGCCTATGGCAACGAAATCCGCTTGCCACAACTGGACGTCTGTTCAACCACAGCTGTTTTCTTGCCACGCTTGTTGCTGCCGCTTGGAACTGGCTGCACAAAACCAACAGCAACACCGGCGGCGCGACAGCAAACTGGGGGCCGAAGTAAATGAGGTCAACTGTTGTGTCGCCGAATGGCAGCGGCAGGTAAACAGTTGCAGCAGCCGGCGGCGCAGACAAAATGACGAACGGAAGAAAAACAATGCAAATATATGATTGTAAAGTGCTTGTGTCAATAGTTGTGGCACGAACCACAATCTCAGCAGCAACTGAAATTTATAATAAGAAAGATTTTATTAAATTTTTTCAAGTCAGTCGGTGCAGATAAAGTGAAAAAGAATAAGCAGCTGCTCTGCATACTCAACGCCCATTTGTTTCCTAATGGGTTTAATGTTTTATTTTGGTTAGCTCTTGTTCTTGCACACTCCACACGGCTGTTTCTTAGTTTTTTGTTGCAACAAAGGCAAATGCACGTTTGTACCGTTATAAAGTGCATACGCACACCTTCAAAAACAAATACGACGTGTTACTGGCCATAAGTCCATTTTAAGTTAGAAAAAAACGAAATGGCGACAAGCTACAACCGGGTGGCCATGACAGTGTCTTGACCGTCATGCTGTAAACGTCATTAGAGTGGCTGTTTGCTCGCTCAAATTGTCTGAGGCATGCGAGTAGCTCTAGCGGTGCGTAAATATGGGTCAGGTTTGTTTATTATTATTTCTATTAATTTTTACAATTTTAGCTTTTGTTTGGTGTATACTCTGATTTTATTTATTTATTGTTTTCTTGTTGGGTTTTAAAGTACTGGGGCCGAGGTAGCAGCTTCTTCTAAATATGTGTGATAACTATATTCAAAACTCTACTTAGATTAGACTGCTTTAATCCCATTACCTTTCGCACCAACAAATACACGCACACCAATACAAAAAAGCACACACATTAAATTGCTTAAGAATAGGCACATTTTTTGGCCCAGCAACCAGCAACTGTAACAACAACAGCAAAAGCAGCCCTACCGACAAAGCTCAGATTGCAAGTTAGCAGCAGGCAACAACTTTTACAACAACGTAAACAATGCAAATAAAATGTACGAGCACGAGTGCATTGGCGAAATTGGAGCAACAAGTGAATTGCACACACCGAGAGCAGAGCGCGTACGAGCGACTGATAAAGAGTAGTGCTCAATCAGCAAAAATAGTAAAATCGACAATGAAAACAACTATGGGCAAAAACGTGTTTATTTCAGGCGACATGCTGTGTCGACCGGTGCGGGTCGTGGGGAGCGATGTCACACACGCGCCTACAAACCTGGCGGACGTGTTGAAGTTGGGGCGCAAAACTTGTTTTCACTTCACTGCAGCAGACCTGCCCCAAACAAGCAAGCAGGCGAGCAAACACGCAAACAACACTAAGCCAAAGCGGGTAACGTAGGCTCCGGATAAATACGACAACGACGACAACTGTGCGAACATATGTAAGTCAAATATTTACGTCGTTCAATCTGTGTGTTTGTTTTTATTGTGACTTTAATACACGGCGTTCAGACAGAAAGCAACTACCGCGTCTCACTTGAACCTAGTGCAGCAAGGGTTCGCTCAACACTGAATTGCAGCTCCAACTAGAGATAAGTGCAGACAGAACCGGCACACCTGGAACACCTTCAGAATCGGCGGAATGCAATGGCATGGAAATAATGGACATAAAACTTTAAAATTCTCCTCCTCTCTCTCCTCAGGTGAAGAGAGTATGTGATACTGGATCAGAGACTATAAAAATTATTCTCTGTTTGGATTGCCTATTGTGTTGTTTATTGGGTTTGATGTTGGTAAGTTCGCTAACTAATTGGATAGTTGCTCGTTTGGCCAACAGGTTCGAATGTTGGTAGGGCAATTGTTTGATTAATTTTGGATTAACAGGTGCACAGCCGGTAATCAGTTGCTCTCACTGTAAATTAGGGAGGCAAAAGAAATAATTGCTGTTAGCTGTAAGTTAACATTTCGGCGTTGTGTTAAAATGCTAACATACAGCAGCAATAGTAAAGAATAAAAGTTTACATTTTGTTGTTGTTAAAGAATGTTATGATGTTTTTAGCATTTTCCACGTACAGCGTGCGTTAACATTTCGCTGTTGTGCTAAAATGCTAACTTACAGCAGCAATAGTAAAGAATGTTAGTGATATTTTTCTGTCTATTCAATGCTGCTGTTATTTCGGTTTACTGTTATAATTGCAGGCAGTGAGTAAATTGATGGGTCATATTCACTTTTGAATTTTAAAAAATCGATTTTGCTTTTTTCATGCATATCGAATGTAAAAATGTCTAAAAATATTCTCCAAAAAATTTTATTTAATCTGACAAATAGTTCCAGTGGTATGGGGTAAGATTTTTTAATTTTTTGTTAAAGTTTAACAAAGTTTCAAGCCCGTAACGATATTTTGAGAGTTGAATTTCACAGACTGAATTTTTCACACGACTTTTTAGGTTAGCAATTGGTCCCCACAAAAATACGACTTTTTTGGGAGCCGCCATTTTATCAAGAATAAGAGTTTTGACTGGTTTTCCCATCGTTAACTATACAAATACACCGTAGTTATATGTATATAGTATTTTGAGTTCTGGATTTGAGATAACATAAACCGGAAAAAAAGTTCTGAACCGTCAGTTTCCTACGAAGCCGTGAATTTTATAATTTAAAATGTTTTTTATTGAAGTATAAAATTAATAAAAAAAATGTGTCCTAAATAATCTATTTTCCGCCGTTTACGAAAAACTTGTAACTGGCAGTTTTGTAGGGCACTCAATTTCCTACAAAATCTATGAAACGAGTTATTTTTTCAGTTAGTTGGAAGTGAAATATGAATTTTTAATTCTTACTAGCTGACCCCGCAGCCGTTGTCCGGCGTGAAATTATGTGTTTTGAAACGAAAAGAAAATTGAATTTATCATTTCATTTTTTTTTTTTTTTTTCTTTTTTCAATGTAACGTTGCTGGATAATCCAAATTTTTTGGTTTCTGTTTCGGTGTGCAGAATAGATGGTTTTCAAACTCGTGAGCACGCCACGTATATCTGACCGTGTGAAAAACATAGCACTTCTAAACTTGGCAAACCAAGTTGTGTCCTATTGATCGTCACCTCAAATGCAATTTTCACTGGAAGCGGAATATGTTTGAACTGAAATGGCAAATCATTAGAACTCAAAGGAATTCGTAGAATCAAGCATTATGTCCACTTGTGCGTCAGAATCAGTCGGATTCCATTACACAGTAATAATGACAGATCCAACTTTTAGACGCAAATTATGCGGTGGAACACCAAGCCTCTACAAATAATTTAGAAATTCCACTGGATAATTCACGGCGTCGTCTTTATTGTGAAGACGATCGATCGATTTGTATGAGCGCAAGTCTCCCGGAATTTGACTTTGACTCTGCCAGTTTAAGTCAACAACATCGGTATTTTTGCAGCTAACATTGCGCGTGCACTTAAGGAATCGTAGGTACGATAATTTGGCCAATGTTCGGATAAATATTCGTGATGAGTTCATCTTTCGTGAATTGATAAACGGCGAATGGAATTGATATCAAACCACCATAAATATCAACCGGAATTTTTGTTCGCTGGCTTACTTCTCCAAAACTTGCACACACCGTATGGTACCATTGACAGTTCGCAATGACTCAAATGAAGTTGAACCGCGAACATTAATCGAAGGTAGAAACCATCGTCATTTTAAGGGTGGATTGCATAAATTCGTCCTAAGGAATTAGTTGAGAACACCTGGATGTCAATCTACTGGTTTGCCTTCCTTTCTGTGTAACTATTTCTTCGACGATGCATTCTATGTATGTCAAGATATTTCCGAATAGAGCAATGCAAACAGATCACTGGCGAAAGTTGAGAAAAACCTCGTAAATGTTAATTTTGTTGCTGGCGATGTTTTAATTGGCTGTACTGTATACTCTGAGTTGAAATATACTCTTTGGCCATTCTCCAAATTAACTGCGAGACGCACAACGGTCGGAAAACGTTCATGAATTGCAAAAGTAAATAGCCTACAAAGCGCTTTATTGCAGTTCTCGTATCGACCCATTTGGTACTTGCTGATTTCATCTCGTTCAAAACCAATAACCGCCATGTTGCTTCCTTTTTGTGACGGACTTACAAACGTATTTTATCGATTACACCAAACTGCAATACTCAACATTAATATGAGTTTTGAATATGAATTAGTGGTGAATATAGTAGGATCCATGAGTTGTCAACTTCCATATTCATTCTTCTAAATTAAATGCTGAATGTTCTGCCATTGTCGTCTGGTAAGCTACGCCGATAAAGTGGATATTCATCATTTCTAGTTAGTGTTTCCGAAAGAAAAGCACGTGGATAGTGTTTCGTGCATTTATTGTCAGCCATACAAACCGAAAAGGGATTGTAATGTTCGAAAGGTCCATGAATCATAATGTTTTTCACCTCTTCGAATAATACTGGATCTTTCATCAGGAATTTCCGCAGAAATGATTTCATCAATTTGATCTGGTGTAACCACCACCCAAAGAAGAGTGTGTACGTGCGGCAAACCTCTCTTTTGCCACTCAACAGAGTACATCTAGCATCCAACAGCACCATCAAACATCGTTGTTTGAAAAGTTGTGCTATGACATTGTGACGATCGATTGTTGATGGAACGCGACTCATAATTCCGCACGTATGTCATCGCATCCTGGGAGTGCTTCTGCCTTGCCTTGGGCTGTCATATGTTGCTCGCAAAAAAAAACGCCGACCGATATTAGGGCGACCTATTCGTGGCTTCGTAACAAATTTCAATCTGCAATTGATCACTTTGCGTGAAACACACATATGTAAAGTTTTCAGTGAATAATTTCCTATAATTTTTCTTTTGAATAGCCGGAATAATAAAGCAAGCGAACGAAATTGAACGATTCAAATAATTCACAAATCAAAATATTGAAAAACAAAACAAACAAAAATTAAAAAAAAAAATTTTATGGAAAAGAGTTACTTTTTGGAACTATCCAATTTTACGACTTTTCCTCATGAAAAGTATAAAGAATTTTTATTTTTAAACCTTCCCCAATCGACAACGAATAACCTCTGAAAAGTTCATCAAGATTGGTGGAGTCGTTCTCTTAGCGAGGGCTATTTTTAGGGGTTTCCCGGAAATTATACGAAACGTTCTTGCCGTAAAAACCATCCTTGAACCTCAACAGCCACATTAAAAAAAGAATTATCAAATTTGGTTCAGTCGTATGAAAGTTATGAGCGTACATACATTTTGGCGATTCATTTTTATTTACATATGTAGATAATAAGAAGAAATAAAAGACGGAGAACTTTGCCATTGCAATTAAGAGCTCGTACTTCGAGAGATTTTTGTTGAATTATCTAAGAGAAAATTTTTTAGAGCACGGAGAAATTTTTTTTATATTTTTTTACCCACCCTACTGAACATGCAGACGCTTTTCACTAGATAAGGAAACTTAAAGAATGTGCTTTAAAAAATAGACAAAGGAGTCTCGTTTAAAATTTATTTACCTCTGATGAATATTTTTATAAGAAAAAACAAAAATAAATAAATATAAAATAAATTTCTATACTTAAAATTTTTAATTTTGGGTTTTTTCTTAAAACTATATTCATACCTTTGAACCACCTCCCAAACATGAAAATAATAATAGTTCGTTCAAAACAATTTTATAATATATGAAACAAATAAATACAAAATCAACTGATTTTCAATATTTGCACATATGTATATTTAAGTAAGTATTTTCACTACAATTTAGGTATGTCATAATAAATATTTTAAAAGTCTCATCGAATATGATGAAGGCAATACTATATTAAAATCTAAGTTATCGCGAGATATTACATTATTCATATAACTTTTATATAAACTAGCTTTAGGTATAAATACTGCATACACACTAATGCTGCTGAGCCGTCTAAATCGTTATGCACATATATGCGTCTAAAATCTAAGTTGTATTTGCATTATCTAGTTCTTCGTATTTAAATCTAATATGCCGTTGCCAAAAAATGGACAAATATCGGGATTTTCACTACAGCGGTGGTAACAGTTGCAGTACAAGCCCGGTTTGCAATCGCTGCTTCCACCATATTCGCGGCAAACCTCACCCACACCCTTGCGACATAACGTGCGTGGAAGGCAGAAGTCAGGGTTGAAGTTTATGCTGAAACTGCCTATGGAATGARGAAACAAATTGAAATGTAGTTTTTAAAATTTCCAAAGCTTGATATTCATTATTTATATAAAAAAAGCTAACTTACCATGTTTGCAACTTTCAGGATACACGCTGTTTGGGCCGCAATTAATGGACGGACCAAATGATTTCCTTTCAAAGTAAAAGTTAAGAAAATAAATTTATATTTGTGTAACAGTAAATAATATAGAAAAATTGTACTATATACTCACAGTGCTTGTGTTCCATTTTGTCGCMAAACCAATACCAAAATCAATGTCAAGCTTAGCTTGGTGAACCAACCGACATGAGTGCGAGCACTGCGATAAGACGCCATTTTCAATATTTTTTGTTTCCACAAACACAACTTTTTAACTTTGATTCGAGTGACTCTAGGCCTTGATTCAGCTGTTTCTGCTTTCGCTGACTTGTGATCCATCCTTTTATAGCTCTCTCAAGTGGTTTTCAGTCACATCCTTTTCTGCTAATTTATGAAAATTTTAAATTGATTATTCAAAGTGTTGCTCCTGACTTTTGAATAATTCAATCGGCCTTGAATTTCAATCACTAACCGTTATATGAAAATTTTAAATTGATTATTCAAAGTGTTGCTCCTGACTTTTGAATAATTCAATCGGCCTTGAATTTCAATCACTAACCGTTTCGGTCAGCCATATTTTCATTGTCGTCATCTTGACCTTACTAATTGTTCAATGAAGTGGCGCTAATTTGTGCGTTAGTAATGAACC